TTTCCAATTTTTGGTGCTGTCAGAACCACCGCAAAGTAATTTTACGTAGTCCTGTGAAGTTTTGTTGAAATCGGTTGAAAAATGTAGGAAATCCGATCCAATATATTTTATAAGTTTTATAATAAGTAAGATCTATTACTCTCTCTCATATATATGGTGGCTTAGGTGTGTGTGGATGGTGTAATGGATAGCGGCTTGGAATGTGAGATCAGTTATCCAAGTTCTAATTCCAAGCAGGTTTATTACATTCACTTATGGGCAGATACCTTTGGCAAAAGTTATGAATCTGTCTCCTCCTCCAGCTATGGATTAAATTGTAGCAATTGTATCTGGAAATTGTTGATGTAACATTCACTCACAAAAAAGAATTATTCTTACAAACCAAAAAGATTTTTTAGCTTTCACTTCTCGCTTGTGGAACTCTCTTCCTGTTCCATGCTTTCCAGCCAACTTTAATCTGCAAAAATTAAAATGCAATGTCAATCGCTATCTACTGTCCTCTTGATTACTCTTCTTTTGTTCTTGCTCATTAGCAGTGTTTCTGCTTCTAATTCTTCTACACCCTGTAACCCCTTGTGTTTCAGTGGTGTTACTGTCATGTATGGAGTAATCTCGATTTAAAAAAAAAAAAAAAAAAATTATCCATAATGTGTTGATAAACCATAAAAATCTAATCAATTTTAATGATAGCTGCTTTTACAAGGTTGACTATCAAGAGGTTACATTTGGATTTGGCTATACCTTCCTCTGTTCTGGAAACCTGATTTATAAACCTTCTTTATAATCATATATAGCTTAGCACAGCACAATCTTGACTTTCAAGTCCTAGATATGGCAATAACCTAAATCCGGTAACAAGGCCTCGGATTGGGAAAGTGGAAGTTTTGAGGAGCATGGAACCAAATCTTAACTGCTATTGTTCCCAGGCCCAGCTTGACCCAGGGGTTGTGGCCCAAACAAAAACACTATGAAAATATAAAAATACATTTTAATAGTAAAAATACCAACACTACATTTTTATATAAAAGCAAGATGAAGAATACATATATTAAAATGACTAGCAATAAATTTTATCTGTTATTGTAGGCATACAATTACATTCAAAATATATTTAGTTAAAGCCATGAAATTGTTCAAATTATTTAGATTTCAGAATTAAATAACTCATAGTGGTTGATTTGCTTCTAAACAAAATCAACCAATCATCTTGACTTTCAGCATCAGATATCCTTAATCCAATGACAAGAAGCACTCAAGATAATCAGAGACAGTCTATGCCAGATACGATTTGAGTAGTCTAATGGGAACACACTGGCAGGTTTATTAATATAATATTCTATACAAAGTATAGAAAGTTGTGAATTGCCATGATTGCTCACATCCTGAACGGACATTGCATATAATAATAATTATGTTTACCCAGATGCTGTAGACTACCAAAAATTGTACCTGGTATAATTCCATATATCTTCCCTGTATATCACAATAAGCTGTGCCTCTTACATTGTAACTATCTAACTGGAGTGGCTCTTGGGTCTTGTACAGGGTGAAAATCATTGTAAAAAAAAAACAAGGTTTTCAAAATGGGCTACTTTTGAAAGCTCAGTGAAATTACATTTTAAATTTTACCGCTTGAAACTTTATGGGTTACTTTTTAAATAAACTGGTATATTTGCAGCGATGAATTCAATTTTCAAATTTAACAGTAGGCATTAAATTTGGGAATGGTTTTACTTTAAACTAAATCATAAATAATCTCTATTTTTTTTTTTTTTTTTGGCCTTTCTATTTCACTACTATAATGGAATACTCTTATGGAACAGTTTGCCAGATTAGGCCATTTTTGAAATCCCAGTGTTAATAAATTTCCTTAGATTGTTGAGGTTACTAATGCATACATGTATGTATTTGAAAAGATAAAAAAGATGAAACAGGAAAGTTTCCTTAGAAACAAAGAAAGGAGTACTAACCTGCATGTAATATCAGTCTTCCTATATGGCAGTGAATGCTGGACAATTTCAACACAGATGAAGAGAAGACTGACAGTAACAGAGACATTATTCTACAGAATAATGGTGAGAATACTACAGATGAAGGACATGGGCAATGAAGAAATCATTAGGAAAATGGAAACAAAAAAAGGCACATGCTCAGAATCAGAAAAAGACTTGAAATTTCTCGGACACATAATGAGGAAAGAGAGCTTGGAGAATTTGACACTCACACGACATATCAAGAAGAAGAAGGAAAGGGAAAGGCAGTGGGCCTGATCTGACAAGTTTATGTGAACGAATGGTGGAACATGGGATAGGAGGCCTATCAAAGGAACAAATATTGCTAAGGTCTACAAAGGATATGAGCTTGTAAAAATCCATGATCGTCCACGGCCTTAAGAGACAAGGCACATAGATGAATGAATGAGAACAAAATCAATTCCAAATTTACTAGTGCTGGGCTTTCAACTGTAATCCAATTTACTATTCATAATCCAATCTGTCAACCCTTAAAAATAAATGATGGAGAAGAACTTATATCCATTAATTACAATAATTCCTTTCATTCTAGCTGCATATGAACAACACAGCATTGTTAGGAAATTTGTGTTATTTGCTGTGCAGCTATCAGATTCTGATTCATATTCATATTTATATTCCATATATGAGAATAAGCAGGTGTTTTATCTGAGTCAATGTTCAAAAATAAAAAGAAAAACATCTACACAAAAGACCCAGTCCAATAAACTAGCATCCATTTATTAGGAATTTATAAACCTATCTGTTTGACAGAATAGGTTTTACTACCAAATTTTCCAATATGGGTAAAAAGTCTGTGAACTCTTTAAAACTAAAAAACAACTTCACATTACTTTAAGAAATTATACCCATAAATTTAGCTTGCCTATTCTTGGTATAGCTGCAGACAGTAAATATCTAGTCTTTCTTTTCAATTTCCAGCCAGCCTTATTCTAGGGTGCATTGAAGCTGTAGAAAAAAAAGACAGAGAAAGTGATAACATCCTCATATGTTTAACGCCAGCTTCTGTGAAATGGTATAGTAATATGAAATATGCCAGTCCAAAATGATTAGTTTTAATAATAAATTTTTGCAAATTAGCTAAAGCCATGTAATTTTCACAGGTCCAATTCTACATGTTTAAAAGAAATCATAAAAACCTAGATACAAGATGTGTAGGACTAAAATTTGAACTTTATTGCAGCTATATATATATATATATATATAAATAAATAAGATCATGAGTTCTGTAACCCATTCGGATTTCAGTCATAGGGGCACCACATGTACTGCAGCCACAGTAGAATTGGTGTGTCTTGGGCCAACCCTCTCCAGTTTCTCTTTCTTTCTCTCTTTTGAAGGAATAAATTATTACCAGCAATACATTTTTGAAAAAAAAAATATTACCAGCATTAAATAAAAATTGAGATTGATATGCTGTAAAGCGAACCAAACCAAAGAACAATAGCAGGAACTTTCATGTGAAGACACAATATTTGAAAATGATAAAACCAACATAGTGCAAAAAACAAAATTCTTTCATAATAGCTTCTGAACTTTTAAATTACTCAGAAATTTGACAATTTATACTTAAACTAGCAGTATAACCCATCTTTGACTGGGTGTTTCATTACTGGGTATTTTTGCCATTCAATTGGAGCTGTCTGCCTCTTGAAAATCAATATTAGTAACAACAAATGGATTCAACTCAGACACATCCCCAAATGGGAGGGTAAACAACTTGAATGTGGGGGTGGCCTTGAAAATGGCCGTTTTTGCATTCTCAATCTTGCAAAGAAGAAACTTCTTCCATAGACTGTCATAATAATAATATACAATAATTTTTATTTATGATATGATTTTTTTTATAATTCTAATAATCTTTTGCGTTAGATTTCATCTCTCTAAATTGCATGTACACTGTTTTTTACAGACATTAAATTTTGCCTTTGATTTTTGCACAAAGTGTAAAACATCATTTTTTTTTGTTTTTTTTTTAGTTTTCACCTTCAAGGTTAGACTCAAAACTGCCACTGAAGAATTATCTATCAAACAAAAAAAATTTCATCGAAATCAAATGGAAACTGTGGAAATGCATAAACAACATCTGATCACATGCACACACACACATACACATACATACACGCACACATTTTGAGAATTATAGATATGTGATAACGATATATAAATTTTTACATAACAAGAATAATTTTAGGGGAAAAATGTATAACATGGAAAAAGTTTCATATGTTACATTTCATCTTTTAGAACTTCATTGAACTAAATTTGTTATGTCGGTGCAATTAAATATGCACACAAATGAGGGATGCTGGGAATTAAAAATTTTTTTTTTTCCATTTTTTTTATAATCTAGCCAGTTTCATTTAGATTCTTTTTCCTTTCACCATTTCTGGCAGATTTTCTACAATCACAGTGAGGATATCTAATAACAAATGTGATAGAAACAAAAAGGAAAAGAATTTAAATGAAATCAGTTAGATTATAAAAAGGAAAATTTTAATTTAAATTTCACAGCAGCCCTCATTTGTGCACATGTGTAGTTGCATCAATATAAAAAAAATTAGTCTGATGAAGTTCTAAAGAACAAAACATGTGATACAAAAACTTTTTTCCACTTTGTCATAAATTTTTCCCCAATTAAATATGTACCAACAACCAGGATAATGGTCCAAAATATAGAAAAATTTTAAACAATGAAATTTTATTGGTCTTGAATTAAACTTGTATAAATTAAAAATTTCTGCCCTAATACAATATATAATTTGTCTGTATATGTTATTTATGCTTTTTTGCCAATTATATCTATATTTTTATTAATTTTCTTTCTTCTTTTATTTAATTACAGGAGGAATCTTATCCAACAGCTTAGCACTGTTCACGGATGTTTTACACTTGGGAAGTGATCTTATCAGTTTCTTCATCGGTTTATTAGCACTCTTCCTCTCCACAAAACCAGCAACTGAATCCATGTCATTTGGCTATCATAGAATTGGTAAGTTTCCATTCTTTTCACATTTTTAAAAGTCTTAAAGAAAAATAGCAACAAAAAGAACACTTCTGGTCAGAATCAGGAAAAAACAGCTGAAATTCCTTGGACACATGATGAATAAGAAGAGATTAAATGCAAGAGGGATAGGGAAAGGCAACAAGTTACATACCTGATGAGTTTATGTGAATGGAGGGTGAAACATGGGGTTGGAGCCTTAACAAAAGTAGAAAAAATACTAAATGCAACAATGAACAGGAAGTTTTGGAGAGCAATGATTGCCCATGGCTTGAAGGAACACAGCACATAGAAGTAGAAAAGCAAAAATATAAATATTTCAGTGTTTAAACACCAAACAAGCCATTTCTTTATAGGTACAGTTAGAGAGAAATTAAGTAAGAGTAGATTTATACTTGCCCAATGGTCATTGCAACCAGAGTTTGAAATCAGAATTGTTAATTACAGATTCCAAATGATAAGCAATCCATTTTCAGTTTGAAATCAAAATTGTTAATTACAGTTTCCAAATGATAAACAATCCATTTTCAGTTTGAAATCAAAATTGTTAATTCCAGCTTCCCAACAATAAGCTTCCAAATTAGATTGCACCCAAATTCAAAATCTCTAGTGAAGAGATCATCCAAACAATTACCATGAAAATATAGAAAAAACATAGAAAGGCAACCTTCCAATGGTGGAAAATGACTGGAGCTGAGCTACCAGATCAGGACCAATAATATTGCTGATTTTTCTATGGGTCTTATTGAGGAGCTCAAGGTAAATAGCAGTGACACCAGACCATATATGGAAGCAATATTTTAAGCATGAACAAATGGTAGACTTATAGATATGTAAGATAGATTCTGGAGAGAAAAACTGTCTTGCCTGACACAGTGAACTGACTTTCTTAGCAGCTGAAATTGCATTGGATTCAATATAATCTTCTCACTTCATGTCAGCAGAGAAAATGAGTCCGAGAAGGCACAATGAGTCACTTTCCTAGAGGTTAGCATTAGCCATGCTGATGGAAGGCAAAGAAAGTTCTCTCAGATGATTAATGGAGAGAAGTTTAATTTTGGCTGCATTAAAATTAACAAGTCATCTTTTGCCCCAGTTAACAACAGACTTGAGGTCATGTTGGACATCAGCTGCCATTTTGAACTTGTTGAACTCATAAACTTTACTAAATGGTTGTGTCATCAGCACAGATACCAAGTTGAAAGCTAATGCCATCAGGAAGGTCATTAATGAAAGATAAAACCAGAGTAGACCCAAAGATGGAGACCTGGTTGACACCTGCATTACTATAAAAAGATCTAGACAAGTGGCTGTTTAGGATAACTTTCATTTCTCAATTTGATAGGAAAGACTGGATCAGTTTAAGAAAGTGTTTCAAGACCCTGTAACTTTTCAGCTTGTGGAGACCTGAATGCCAGACTCTGTCAAAAGTTTTCAAGATGTTCAATGCTACAGTTCAAGCTTCACCATTTTTATCTAGAGTATGATAGATTCTTTCTGCAATTACCATCAGTACATCAGTAGCTGACCTAGAGAAATGAAAGCCATATTGCTTGTCTGAGAAAAGACCGTGCGATCAAAGATGATGAACCAATTCAGCATTGATTAGGGCTTCTAGGAGTTACCCAAAACCAGTAGAATATATATGTATATATTATATGTATATATAAATAAAAAGAAAGAACAGTAAGATATATAATCCAGTGTTCTTATAGATATTTTTATTTTTACAAAATAGTGCTCAATGTAAATTTACAGAGCATTAATATTATAAATTAATTGATTTAAAATATGTTTTTTTCACTACACAGTTCTAACCATGTCTCAAAAATGGAAGCTAAAAGCCCCGAATTTAATTTTGTAATTAAATTAAAGACATTAGTTCCATTTCATCCTCAAGTGAATTTTGGAGTAACTTTTAAAATTACTGGGTTTTAAAGACACAGCTAAAATCATAATTCATTTTTGAAACATGGTTAGAACTGTGTAGCAAAAAAAACATATTTTAAATCAATTAATTTATAATATATATATTATATATATTTATAAAGTCTGTATATTTGTTTGATGTTATTTACCAAATCTTGATCTGAAATTTTCATTGTACAATGTTCAATTTAATTATCATTTATTGCTGAATTGAAAAAATTGGAGATAACATTAAAAAATATCTGGTGTAAAATAAATTATTTTTTCAGATATAAGCTATGCCCCTCTTGATGAACTCATATATATATATAATTGGATTAAATGGATTAAATCTGATAAATATTTTTTAATATATTTTCTGTTTATATGTTATTTTTATTTGAGTAAATGCTCTGTTTTAATTAAACAGTATTAATTGCATTTACCAGCCTCAGTGTTTGAGAAATTTTGTAGAAAGTATGTTTTCACCAACACAGAAACTGTAATATAGCCTGGTGGCTGTTAACCATTCAGTCACGGAGAACTTTCCAGTTAGCAAAGTTCAAAATACTGCTTATAAACACCCATCTTCGATGATCCTTCTCAGTATATCCTTTCTGCTCTGAAACATAAACTAACGTAAACAATGACAACATATTAGATGAAATGGATTAAATCTAGCAAATATTTTAATATATTTTCAGTTCATACATTATTTTTATGGATACAAATTATTTGAGTAAATGTTCTGTTTTAATCAAACCTTTATTTGGACTTTGCTAACCAGGAAGTTCTCTGAGGCTGAATGATGGTTTTCATGTGGGACACATGTTCGATTCCTGTCAGAAAATGTATATTTTCTACAAAATTTCTCAAATATTCAGGCCAGTAAATGTCATGAATACTGTTTAATTAAAACAGAGTATTTACTCAAATAAGTTGTATCCATAAAAATAACATAAACAGTTAAGTGGGTTAAAAGTGGGAAATTGCCCACTGACATTTTCAACTTAATTAGACCCTTGGGTTCCATTCATCCCCGTCTCTATGGTTTACCCAAAACTCATAAAGTTGGGACACCATTGAGACCTATTCTATCTATGATAGGGTCTTCTCAACCTGGCATGGCTAAATGGCTTTCTACTATATTACAGCCAGTTTTGCAACAATATAACTCTGCCTGTATTAGAGATCTGTTCAAATTCTCTCATTTTATGCAGTTGTATTCATTGATGGATAAATTTATGTTTTACTACAATATTTCCAGTCTATTTACCTGCATTCCACTTGCTGAGACTATCGATATATGTGCTGATGCCCTATATCGTAATCAGTTGTCACCTCCTGTTATTCCTGAGGACGTTTTCGTTAAACTGATAAAATTTGCTATGATGTCAGTCGAATTTAGTTTTGACAGCGTCATGAACAGTCAAGTTGATGGTGTTTCGATGGGTTCCCCTTGGAACCCATTTTAGCAAATATCTTTGTTGGATTCCATAAAAAAAGTATGTTATAGAAACCTAATAAACCTAACGTTTATTTCTGCTACATTGATGACACCTTTTGTCTCTTCAATACCAAGATTGAGGCAGACCATTTTCTTGCATCCATTAATAATATGCATCCAGCTTTAAAATTTACACAAGAAAAAGAGGTTGATTTTTCTCTTCCTTTTCTTGATGTTTTAGCCAGCAGATCTTCATCAGGTTTTGTTACATCTGTTTATAGTAAACTGACATTTACTGGTTTATTTACCTGTTGAGATTCTTTTTCTTATAAAATGTAAAATTAATTTAATTAAAACCCTTGCCCATATGCTCTAATGATCTGTTCTAAGATTAAGTTGGATGATGAGCTTAGGTTTATTACCACTACTCTCTGTAACAATGCCCATCCATTGGGCATTGTTCAAGCAATAATTAAGAATAAAATTGATGAATTCAATAAATTTAAACCTGCTATAGTACAAAGACATCCTGTGTACCTGTGCCTTCCTTGGCTGGGTAATATCAGTGATAGATATGCTAAGCAGGTTTCTGTAGCAGTTCAATATTGTTACTTTGCCACTAACACTCATATGGTCTTTTCTGCTAAGCCTGCTTTTCCCTCCATGTGGAAAGACACTTCTTCAGAAATTCTGACCAATACAGATGGGTCTTTCATCACAGAATATCTAATAAATAGCCATAACTGTGCTACTAGTTTCAGTGTGGACTCATTTACCATTCTTAGAAAGTCCTACTCAAAGAGTTAAAGGCCATTTATATTTTATCGTTGAAGGGTAAAGGATTTCGTACTAAGCTTCCAACTAATTTCCATCTAAACAATATTTTTCCCTAATACATATTGTCCATCTCTTTTAGTGATAATTCTATTATAATTTATTAACCTCAATTTAGCTCTGTTGAGCGAGGTTCGAAACCGGTTAGCAAGCCCGTTTTTCAGTTTTACTTTTTATCTATTATCATCATGAGTGGTAATAAAAATAAATTTTCTTTTCATGGTAGTCATAAAATTTTGTATCACAAACCATATCTTTGAATATATATATATATATATATATATATATATATATATATATATATATATATATATCTCCAAATGTAATGAGACAAAAATAATATATAAATTCTAACATTCACAGCATTAATTCAAAAGAGGGCTCAATACCGATAATAGAGCAATAATTATTTATTATAATTTTTCATATAAATAAAAACAATTTACTCACAACAATGATGCAATTTTGTTTCGGTGCATTTAGTTGCACCTTTCCTGGAGAGAACCAAAATGGTTATGAACAATTCTTTTTGTAAGCAGGCTGCTCATGGAATGTCACTTCCTTTTTTCTACTTGTTTGAAAAACAAAATAGGTAAATTTTAAGAGGAGACAAGGGACATAAAAAGGTAAAGAAAAAATAGGAGAGTCAAAAGGATGATAGAGTGAAACAATAGTTCTTGTTGATATCAACAAGAACTATTGTTTCACTCTATCATCTATATAACTTTTATCTGCAAATTTGAAACCTATTGTTGGACTGTATAACTTGTAGAATAAGTATGGATGTAAATCAATTTAT